TTCTTCATTAAATTTAAACAGGTTGAAAAACACATTATGTTTTCATCTTTGATCCATAGCTAGGTTGAAAACCCCAACAGACCAGTAGCAATTATATTAGAAACCTTACTTTTGTGCTTCTTTATTAATGTAAAACACCATTTGTAAATGTCGAGTATGACACTATCTTTTCACCTAAGGTTGTCAGGATTGAGCAAACTGGAAAACGGCCGATAACTATACTATGATATATATATATATATATATATATATATATATATATATATATCCTGAAAAAAATTGATTACAATTGAAAGTCAAAAGAAACAGTTCTATATGGAATAAATAGAATTCCTGGTGACACTGTAATTTGTGAACGAACTTTGAACGACGCTAAAGTGACCATCAGAATGTCCATCTATTAACTAGGACTAAACCAGTGTGAGGAATTAGAATTATGATTTACAGTTGACATTTATGGTTACGAATTAAATATAAGGTTTTCATTACCAACTGACATTAGAAAAAATGCCAAAACTCAATTTATCCAAATGGATGAGTGAATTTTGCGCCAATATCCGAGATCTGTTATCTTATACCTGATTGGTTCGTCCATAATTTGTAGTGTCGCCAAATTCCCTATAGGAACAGTAAATTATTATAAGATTAGATTTAGGTTTGTTATACCCACGCATAAGATGGATTGAATAAACATATTTATAGAAATACATTTATAGGTAAGAAATAACTATTTAAATGATAAAAATGAATTAGTTAATTCGTCTGAAATTTAGAGCATGAGTAAATCATCTAAGTGGATTTTCGTTAATCTATTAAGAGAAAAAAAAACTAAAAAAAAAAGAAAGAAAAACTTATCAGGGAAATAAAAAACAAATTGGATAAATGGTTTTGAACATAAAAATAAAACGAATTATTCCCTCTACCGACCACCTGTTCAAATCAATTTTATTTTTTGCATTTGAATTAATCGAGAAGAAAAGTCGATAAACAGAGATCAATCAGTTAATGTTTTATTTTAAAATAATTAACTTTTGTGTTTCTAACCGGAACCGATTTATTAGTTTGTTAAATGTCTTAAATAGTAAAAGGTAATTAATATTGATCAGTTTTTGGTTGGAGTCAAATGAATGATTAGTACATATCAGTTGGCGATTTTTAAATTCTGACAAAATCAACAGTACTATTCATTTATATTATTGTTTCACTGTACTTATAAATATTTCAGTATCCTGTTAACTAGGCAGTTGTTGAGATAGGGATACTGTGGTGTGAGCTACTTATATTGATATAAGTAGTATATAACGTGCGTTAAAAGAACGTAATGTCTGGCAGCAGAAGATGGCGAAGATCAAGAAAGGTACAGCGAGAACACAATGGAATTTGTAAGAAAACACATGAACAATGGAATGGGAGACAATGGATTGGTGTTTGCAACAGAAACAGTCTAGTTTGATTCGATGCATGAGTATTTTGCAAATTGACGATTTATTATATGGTATTCAGATTTTATTGAGATAGTCTGTAAATGTTTTTCTAAATACTTCCAGACACCATTGTCTTCAGTGAGCTGATATCTCACAATAGGCCTGGTTGGACGGTGGCGCAACTTCGTGGGTTGGTTGTGTTAGACATCAACGCCGTTGGATGCCGGCTCAGTGGTCTAATGGTTGTGTGCTCGCGCGCGAGGCCAGTGGGTCCTGGGTTCGAGCCCCGCGTGGTGCGGAATCGTGGGTGCGCGCTGCTGAGGGGTCCCACACTAGGACGAAGCGGTCGTCCAGCGCTTCCAGGTTTTCCATGGTGGTCTAGCTTCAATTGACTCATGATTTCAACCTGTGAAATTTCCTAAATTCTCCACAAAACTCATTCTAAAATTCTAATTATCATAGTTAAAAGTTATAAAATTGTGTTAAAAATTTTCACAATCATCTGTTCATGGACAATGTAAGAGGGTGAGATTGTGTATGACTTCAACTGACCATCCCTCAGATCAACACGAGAGAAAATTAATAGTATGAAATTTGGATCTTTAACATTTTAATGCTATGCATTTGAGGACATGAGTTTTGACGGAAAAAGAGAATATCAACCCAGAATTTCGTTATTCATCATGTAACATACGACGGATATTCTTCATGATTTTAGATGTTTTCAATATCTTCACAGACATTCGTGGTTTTATTGGTTACCTTTCCAGACAATAAACATTTGTGTTGTGTTCTACCCAACTCGCTATATGATATTTCATTCCTCACTTCATGTATACCTTGATACCAGTGTCACTGACTCCTCGTATTGTATTAAAATTATCTTATTTACTAAAACGAGATGAATTCAAACATTCATTCATTTACAGTTTTCGAATACAAGATAATTTGTTTTACCACAATTTAATGTAAATATTTAGCTTCTATTTTTCGGAAACGGTATGCATAGGATTTGCATAAAACAAACAATTTATTCTAATTTAATAATGAATACTAAACAGTATGGCTGAAACTTAAATAATTCTTATGTGGGGAACATGATTAGAAGCACAGAGGCTGGTTTAAGTTCCAGAATACTTAACTAAATACGTCTAGTATTTAAACTGTTTCTGAGAAAGTGTGATTGAAATTAATTTCGTTGAATTTTTCCTCGACATGCATTGTTACGGTAAAATTATAATTCGTTCACAAACTAATGTCGAAGATATTTATGCGCTCTTACTTAATGCTTATTCCAGTCAGTCAGATGATGATCACATTATTCACATAAATTAAACTTTCTGAATGAATTCAGTAATGAAAGTGCCCCAAATCGTGGTCAACATTAAGTCAGTCATTGTCGAAACCCACTGATTTTTAATGCCTGTAATGCCAGAAAATTTTAATATGAAAATCACTGGTTCAATCTTATTGATTGTATATAATAATTGTCTCATGTCTCACTAACCCGTGCTCATGTAAACTCAAAAAACTTAAGTTTTTACATTGTAGTGTCTGTTCTTGAAAATTTAATATTTAAGATGACTCTTCACTAGTAACCAAGTAACTGACTCATTATTACTGTGAAAAATATGAACATTTCGCTTCCACTTCTCGTTTTTTATTGTATTAAAACGACATATATTGTAAGAGCCTCATATTTAAATTGTATGTATACGCCTTTCATCAATAACATCATCATTTCCACACCACACCTTTAGGTTATTCAACATAAATGCTTTTTTCTAACACAAACGTGCACACGTATAAACGACATTTAACATGTTCAATCATGTCATTTATTACAAGTATAAGCAGTGCACAGAAGAGAAACACTTCATTGATTTTTCTCTTTTTTAAACTTCTATCTTGGCTACTCCTTAAAACAAAACAAAACAAATACACAATAGTTAATGATTTAGAGCACACTTATTATTTGTTATCATGGTTTATTTATTACTAAGCATGTTTATATGTTTCATTCATGAATTGTCTGAAGAACGATTAGTTAATGTTCATTAATTATTAAGTTATACATTTTTATTACTCTCATTTTTAAAAAGAGAAAGTAAGAAATGAGAACAGAGTTCATTTTCATTTCACATTAAAATCTGTTTAACTGTTCATCTTTATTTTTTAAATATAAAACGTTTTACAATTTTTCATTCTACAGAATATGAAAATAATTCAGTTATCTATTAAATTTAGTTAAATCGGTTAGCCAAATATATTTGAATGAGATGATGAATTTTTATGTCAGTGATAGAGGCTTACAATCTCAGGTTCCAACAATGTCGTATTAACGAACCTTATTGTTTAGATTTTAAAATTGAAAAAGATATGACGAAGATATCGACGAAGCATTTTTATTATTCATTATATAGTAATGGGTTTTGTATATTTTCAACCTCAAATTTTAGCTGAATTATTTCGACACCAACTCTACTTAGTGTTAACAATCCTTACATTAGCTAGTAACCAATAAAATAGTGTACAGTCCTATACTAATTACCTTTTTTGAATTGATCTCAACTATGCAAAAATAGCATAAGTTGATTGTTTTATGGGCTTTAGTCCATTAAATCTGTACAAAATACATTTGATCAACGGTAAGATTTAGATCGTTACACTGAAATTGTGGATAGATTTTATTTAGACCACCATCGAAAGCTTAGAATCATTGGACGGACTCAGCAGTGCGCATCTACGACCTAGCGCTAACGCTGAACATCTAGACCACTGAATTGACATCCAGCAGTTAATTTTTAATTTTGATCAGTCCACAAAATTACATGACCATCTTCCACTGTCTTTAGTGAGTAACTGTTTCATACTCGATACGGCTTAGCTCCACTGGTCACAGTCTCTCAGTAGAAATTCAGAAAATTCCTCTTAATGATAGTCCTTAGTAAGCACATGGTCTAGAGTTTAAGTGTTCAAACACAAGACAGAAGATCCTCGGTCCTGCTCGCAAGTGTAGGGTTGTGGATTCGCACTGCTGAAGACTCCTATATTAGGATGAAACGGACGTCCAATGATTCTAGGTTTTCAGTGGTAGTCTAACATAAATCAGATCGTGTAGAACCCTAGATTTGATTCTGAAGGATAACAGCTTCCAAATTAAAAACTATATCTATTTCGGCACCTGGATCATATAAATTAAATCCACATAGACATGTGACATAATTAGCGCCCATAAATAAAGAGGGATTATCCTAAGAAAAGGATAGAATCTTACCGATTTTCGATAAATAAAAACGATTCTTTGTTTTACATTATATAGAATAGTGTAAGTATTAGAAATCGGTGCATGAAACAGTATGCCAAATATATAAGTTAAGAACACTAAAACTCCTTTGTTTAATTTACGGATTTTCTGAAAATATAAAAAACCTAATGTTTATCCTACCAACAGTTTCTAAGCCATTTGCATTAAGATATGTCCCATTAGAAGTATTGACGAGAATCCTTATCCTGTCAATCGTCTGGTCCATTAATCAAATACATATACTAACAAAGGAAAAAATAACAATATTTTAGAAAAGTAAATGTTTTTCAACAAAAAATAAGTATTATTTGTCTTTGACTTTCTGTTTCGCTGTCTTTTCATTTCTCATTTTCCGGATCTACTGTGTTCTTCGTTTTTCTTCTGGCTTTTGCAACACTTTTTCGCCACATCTCTTAACGTATTTTCATCCTGTAAATTAACTGACAGGTAAATTTAACTCAGTAGCTGAGTTGACAGATCAGAAATACTGGAAACGTAGTAATGGCCATTTTTGAAGTCGTATATAATGAAAAAATAAAACGGAACTTAAAAATAAATAATTCAAATGGAAGAAAAAAGTTAACGGTTGAGGGAGGTACAGTCATAAGGAAGACAATATCACTCTGACCACTAATAATCCGATGAACATATTGTCATTTCAATAGGTCATACAAGAAATCAAGTAATGAGAATGAAGTGATGTAATTGCTTTTTTTTTAAAGTAATGCATCATAGAAAAGGATCTAGATAAATTTTCACAAACAAGTTTTATTTTAAACTTAATATAGTTATGCGATTACACAATCATTCAAATAAAAGATGAAGAGAAATGAGCGTCAAACCAAAATATCTAGGCAATTGTATAAAACATTTAACAAAGTAATATTGGTTGGAAGATAGAAATTTACTCTTAGGCAGTGCTAAAAACGGGCAAATAAAAAACAGTCTCATAACTAGATTTTCTGTCATGGTTGTCAAACATTTTGTTGTATGATATGAATTAGAGAAAATAGGATGAAAAAAACAGGGAGAACAATCACAAAACGACAATTTGACAATAACGGAAACATTTAGTACAATAATATCAAATATACACATAGTCAGAGTTTAAAATAAGTCTACTGTAATAGTAAAAGGGAAGATATTTAAACTTGTTTTACATCAATTCACACAAATTTATATTACTTAAAATAAATAAAAACAAAATTAGAACACATTCGTTATATATGTATATTGAACATACAATAACCGTCATTGTTATTCGTAATGAAAATTACTGATATAACTGAGAATAACAACAAAGATATTAGTCAGTATGCATGATGTAGATTCGAGTCGACAGTACAATCAAAAATTCTCACCTTTAATAACTCTGACAATTTACTCTTGTGTCATGGATAGTGTCTATGAAAAAAAACCATATCAAAATATTTTTCTTTTAACATAGCAGTCTCTATTTTCCCTATCCAATGCAGTAGTAATAATAACTATAATAATACAAGTTCTGAGCAAAGTTTCGTAGAAAATAAAAGCATAACAAGTAACTATAAGGGATGTTTGTGTAAGTCAATTTAATTTACATGTAGTTCACTTAGAGAAGACAAATGAACTGGTTAGATATTAAGCATTTGTATTTGTGATACGAAAGCACTTAAACTGTTTTTGATTATTTAATGAAAGCCTGCTGGTAAATTAAAAATCACAATAATTAGCAGCTGCTATTTGTCATGGATATAAGCAGATTTTGTATTATTTGCAGCAATGACGTCATCTATTTATTGAAAAAGCAAAATAAAGCAAATTATTTAGTATAACAAATAGTTATATATTAACTATTTCCACGATTGACAGTATTAATCAATTCTGTGAATTTAAAAGCTTTAACAAATGCAAATAATTGGTGTTAATTTATCTACGATTAATAATCAGGACAATAACAAAGGAGTTATTTCACAGGTTTTGTGCTTAAACATTGAATAGTTTGCCATTAAACAACAATAACAGATTTACAGGGCACAAATCAGCGTAATTCTACGAATGCAATCGTCTAATACTTTTTGTGCTTAAAATATGGCGAATCACAAAAACACTTTTCTATGTAAAGACGTTTCGCCTAAGTCTATCAAATACTTGTTTGTAGGAAGATATTTTTCTCATGACTGAAAACTGTCATTTCATCATGTAAGCCAATTTGCACCAACGGTTCAGACAAACCCTATTGCTAATTTACACTATTTGACTAAGAATAAATTACAACAATAATCGTTGTAACATAACGTGGAGTCGTCAACAGTAGTATTCGAGGTCGCTGAACGAAACAACTAGAACAAGTTAGCTTGATATGATAACCCAATGCAATTCTTTTTCGCTCTTATTTTACTTATTTCCTACTACAAAAATAATTCACACTTTTCATACGTAGACCCATGAATATAAACATAAAAGACCGTCAGTGCATGTCTTTCGAACATGTGAAAATAGGTTCCAGTTAGAGAATAAAAAGTAAAATTCACTAAATCCAATGAGAAAAATTCTCAAATAAGGCCAAAAAATGAATAAACAACTTACTCATTAATTACTGTCTTAGGTATGGATGCATTCGAGAAACTGTGGATGATGTGGCTTGCAAGGAACGTAATTTAAGTGGTCCTACAAAACATGGTAGGTTGACATTTTTAAATAATACGCATGTAACAAATATAAATAAATAATTTGGAAAATTATTTCCCGTACTTATCAATGCTGTTATTTGCATAAAGCTCAATAAGCACCTTCTATAGAATATTACAGAGTCAAATAACAAGATCCTAGCCAGTAGCAAGTATAAAACAGTTACGTGTGAATTGAATCCAGTACTTTATGTACACATTACATCTCTGATCACTTAATTTCCAGTAATTCAACCTCTATTTCTAACAGTTTTACAATTACTTACAATGCCTTCGATGTTGCTATATTTCTTATATCGTCTTCTCTGGTTCTATCATGTTGATATTTACTATGATGTTTTGCATCTGGAAACAACTTTCAATTACTTAGACAATGTAATTTTTGAATTAATGACCTTAACTTACAATCCATTGTATAAACAACTTCAGTTTTGTATAAAAATTTTCTTTCCCAGTTTTAACTGTAACAGTAACAAATGGTCTTAAGAAAATTTCATCTATTCCAACTGAGGTTCTGACAACTGCTTATTGACTTAAACATAAGATATAACTGGCATTTTATTATGAGTTTTTAACTACACGATGAAACCTGAAATATTTGAACGATAACTGTATGTAAAAAAAAATTAAATTATTCAAGCAAAGCTCTATAATGAACGTATTTTATAATGAACAACTGATCAGCTTAAACTTGTTCCTACTCAGATAACACACTTGTACATCAAAGTATAGGGCAAAATAAACAATTACATACAGTATGACTTATTTGCATGGAATCATATCCGAAGGTTACTGAACATCCAATAGCTTCTGCTCGTTATGATACTTGAACACTTAGTCAATAACCCAATCTTAATCCATTGTTCAATAATAGACTGTGATCTGTTTATAATAATTATAAATACAATTGTGAAGCTTCAAAAAATTATAGAGTCAAAAACGTGATTTTCTTTGTTCTAGTATTATTTCCATTACTAAATGAATTTGCTGCTTGCTTAATAAGTCATTCAGATTTTTTAACACTAATAATAGGTGTTTTATTTCCACTAGGTTTGTTCATGACTTTATTATACAAGTTCTGTAAACATTTCTGTTAAGGTTGGTATGCAATTGAACTTACTGACAAAACCAGAAGTTACTTCTGGAATTAACCTGTCAAATGTAAGAGACTATAACCCTATTCCCATACTAAACAACGGTAATAATCTACGAAATAATTGGTAACTAGCATATCCGACTTATACACATCCTCAGCAAGTTTACTTATATCTGTAAAGTATAACATTGAACTGAGATAAATATTAAGAACCTCGAAGTTTACAAAGTGCATTGGTAAAAGCTTCATATAATTTTAAGAACATATGTTTTAATAGATAATATTATCTTCAAGGAAGTAAGTTTAAAATTAAAACTACCTGAACCAGTTTCTTGTGTATTTGATGCGTTGCTGAATTCCAGTATATTTACAGCATCTGCAAGTGATGTATGTGAAGTGATAGGGTAACTATGAGCACCTGAGTTTATATTAGATACAGGATTATTCACGTTACCATTGCATAACTGTAAATTTGAATTACTTGCACCAATACCTCCTGTTCCACTTCCACTAAGGAGAGCAGCTGCAACAGCAGCTAACTGATCATGGCCTTTAAATGAACAGAATAATACGTGTAAAAAGATTTCAAGATTACTTGTACTCATATCAGTAATAAATATAACTTTTAAATTGCTATATCCTTAACGGTGAATCGGAAACGTAGTCAACTATATTACGGGAAGAATGTATAATTTATTTACTTCTACATAATAGTGAGTGACGAAGTGTTTATTGTTTTGTACGATGTTCTAAACCACTAAAACCAAACCTTTACTTATTGTTTCTAAAAGGTTATTATTAGAAACGTTATGATGTCATCAGTAATGACTATACCCAGATATTATTTTTATATTTTGCAAAATTAAGCAACTGTGGTATAATGTGAATTATTTTATGAAAATTAAGTATGGTTCGATTCAAGAACGTTGATCTTAAATATCAAATTTACTCTTGGAAAAGTGAAACAGTACAAAATTGTACCCTCTGATAGCTTACAGAAGCCAAAATGTGAACTTTCTTATTTAATTGTTAAAAATTAATTGGAGAAAATAAATATGGATAGTGTGAGTGAACTATATAACAAAACTTTCTCATCTTGACTAAGTGACACCAATAGACTAGCTTTCTCCCAGATTATAAGCCCTTTTGGCAATGTTATTAACCATCAGGATGTACTAAAATTCTGTTTACATGTAATCACGATTTATATGAACAGCCTAGATCCCAGACTTTATCAAGAATCGAAATTATGAAGTTTGAGTTTCACGGTCGGTAAATATTGTATGGTGATCTGGCCGTCACTGAACTTAGGTAAATAAACAAAATTGATTCATTTTTCCAACAACTTACTGGCTGTATGCAACGTAGAACCAATCGGCAAGGATAAACCAGAAAGTCCATTCCCAGTAATACCACCAGCGATTTGGCTTAAAGGAAGAGTTAGATTCAGTTGTCCATTATTTGTAGCTGATCCTGTACTGACGGCTGCAGATAAAGCTGCATTTGCCGTCAAAGGATATAAAAGTCCGGATATATTATTATTTGGTAAATAAGTAGACAAATTCGCTGAGCTAAAAGATGGGATAGAATGAGATAATTGATTATTTGGAATGGAATGTATTGAATTAGCTTGAGATAATGCAGAATTCATTGTTCCAGGAAGTAAACAGTTTGTTGCCAGTGATACAGGAAGTACCTGAGATTGAATCTGAGGTAAAATATTAGTTGAAGAATATTTATTTGATGGTAATATTTGAGCTGCAGCTGCTGCAGCTGCCGCTGCTGCAGCCGCTTGATGATTTAATACAGTAAGTGACTGATGTTGTAGTATGAGCTGTTGGTGTTGTTGAACTTGTTGAATATGTGCTTGCTGACGATCTTTATCTGAAGTTAAAAGCAAAATATTATCTAATAAATCTGTCACTCTAAGTATACACATACTTAATTAATTAAACCTGTTAAATAAAACACACAAAGTGACTTCACTGAAATTGTGTTTTTACAACACCAAAGAAAAAAGTCAGAAAAGAAGAAACAGTTATAAAATAAGCATCAGGGTAAAAAGGTAAGGTAACGGTTTGAAAACATTCAACACATGCAAGAAACCTCCAATCATCAGGTTAGTTCTGGTCACCTATATCAAATAAAACAACATACATACAAACATCGTGAAAATGATATTGATGAATTGAATTAAAAATGACTCTATTCTACGTCTACATATATTCCACTTGTGATTATAATTCATTTATTTTTATCTGGTCTTAATTATTCTTAAAACTACACCGTATTATTATAGGTGTTTTTCAAAACAATAAAATACCATTGGTTTCCATAAATAGTAAAGAGAAAGCGTAACCATTTTAATTAGCTATGAAGTAGTAAACTTTTTGAATAAAAGTCTTCAATGATAATTTTTTTTATTTTTAAATTAAAGGAAGACATAATGAGCAGATAATAAGGTATTTGTTAAACCCTTTAACAGCATTTCAATGAATCTATAACAAACAAGTTAATTAACTAATTTTTACCGACGTTCATTAGCCTAATAATTACTACTGGTCCTAGCCATGGGCTTAACTAATTGAAGAAAAATTGTAAGTTAATCTAAGCCAGTATAACCATTCAATAGGGAAAGTATTTGAGCAGATGATCTATAATTATAAGAAACCAGTATTATGAATTATCTTCTAGTTACACAACACATCTTTTCGAAATTCACATGATTCGATCAAGCAGTAAAGTGTAAAAATAAATTAAAGTCTTTAAACATGGAGTTGTATCATGCCATTTTTAGTAGCTACTAAATGAAGTTTAAATAAATTAAGTTGAAATTATACTAAAACACATATCAATGATACAAATAAAACGAAAAATCCAGCTGCACGTTTTCACTGTCACTTGTTAATGACAAGTAAAGCAATTATCTCTTTGTACAATAATGTTCATCTCTGTTCACTTCGTTATCTTATATCATAGATAAAAGTATAAATCAAGATAAATCAACGTTAGATATTAGTTGTTGACGGTTATATTAACAAGCTCACAATTAGAAATACTACACAAATTCATGATTTATTCCACATTAACAGAGTATCATTTTTTGTCATTAACTACTTAATCGGAAAATTTACAAAACGTTTATAAAAATGTATTTTGTTCTGTCATTTACACACACAGATAAGTTGTTACAGCCATTTCAACATCATATCATTCGTTTCAACCAAACTTTCGGAATTGAAATGAAAATTCAACTAATTTACCAAATTACCTAATTACTACCGCTGTTAACTGCAGACATAGGAAATGGTTTACTTCATTTCTTTTTTCCTATAACAAGAACCCTAGGATTTAATCATAGTTTCAACTTCATTTTCTTGACTAAACGTTCTATTTTACTCGTGATGATATACTAATTTCTTTTCATTAAGTTCGCTTTTTAGATGAATTTGGAAATTCCAATCAGTTTTTACTGAACAAGTCATTTACTAGATACTTTCTTCAAACATTTTTACATTTTTATAAATATCAACTACTAAATAGTTTGTGTGATATTATAGTCGAGTGTCGTTCTTTATATCATTTCTAACAAGACCATATCCCATATTTCCATTAATTATTCAAAAGTTAAACGAAGTACTTAACTAGAAATACATCGTTTCCCATAAAACCATAGATTTTTGCCCGAACCATCTTTCTAAACTATCAGTTGTCTCAAAATTGTTCACTGAAATATGATCCAAAGCCTATTACTATTAAGATTATGGTCTCGTAGTTAAGTCCATTGACCAATGTAACACACATACTGGAATCATTTTCAATAGCTAATTTTGGGTCACATATCAATATTAGAATTATGTGTTGTTTTGTATAATTTCAAAATCACCATAGACTTATTCAGAAACATGACTTATTTAAATATATATATATATATATATATATATATATATATATATAAATTGTAGGAAAAATGAAATCAGTTGCACAGTTGTTTAACAACCTTGTCTAAACTAATATCATATAGTAAATGTTGAAATTATATTTGAATAAACTCAACAACTAAAATTCAAATAATTCCAATCATCGTTCATTTTCCCTGAAGAAGTTCAGACTAGGTTGCTGGGTGAATCGTTGGAACTATTTGAATCTTAATCGGTAGGACTGATCAAATATAATATATTTTCCGCGTCTTTTATATACTCGGTGTCTAATTTTTGTCAAAATATTTGTTCACTTTCGATGAATATTAGTATAAATAATATGACCTAAGTATTAATAACGATCATCTACTTATAAACAATTGATGATATATGTAACTTTATGCAGAAAATAAATCGGAACTTTCCCGCAAAACATCATAGCCAGAATTTAAGTTCAATATAAGTACGTTCATGTAAGTTTTAAAGTGGGAACAGTAGTTAATCAGCTTTTTAATTCGAATCCTCATTTCAAAAGTTTCACCAGTCTATACTATTGTAAACCAATTCATTCCAATATAAACATAACACTTTGGTAGACGAGATCGATTTCCTTTTGAAAACGATGTAATGTAGCCTAAAGCTTCAAGCGTCAATAGAACAAACCTCGTAATTAGATACTCTATTACAAACAATAAGCATAATTTTTAAACATGGGCATCGTCATCTCGAATACTCTGTTAGAAACAAGCGCTTATACACTTTAAATAAATTGAAAGGATCGTTCGCTAATTATCAGAATTATAACTGAGTGGCGGGTACGTGTGTCGGCTGCAAAACATTATTCTAAAGCGAACTTTTCTGATATTTTTGAAGCTGATGCTAATACAGAATGAATGTTATCGTGGAACAACAGAAATCTTCACAAACTGCAAAAATAAACACTAATCAGTACCATCCTGGTAACCAACTTCTAGATAGATTCCCCAAAGTTTCATTAGGTAGTTTCATTTACAATGAGTTCATCAGTCGCCATAGACTTTAGGTGATTATCATATAATGTTAAATGATTGAGGTTGAAAAATGATAACCATTTAATACTAAAGAATAAACCTATCCATTAACGTGAAGATTTCGAATTCAGTTTTTTGTATACTCATGAGTGGCCACTACTACATAACCCCAAAATAAGGTTGTTTTTCCTCAGTCGTTCTTCAGTTGATTTCAATTTTACCACCAGTTAGGCAAAATCAAATAAAACACGAAATCGAATCACATTACTATCGTACAGACAATTCTTTGAGATTCAATGTAAAAACCTACTTTCCGAATATATTTACATTTTCGAAATTAAAAATACTGATGAAAGGAAAATGATCTGTTATTCATAATGACGAGTAAAAACAATAAATCACCAGATATCAAATATTATTCAAGGTAACACAAACTTTCATTAGAATCTAAAAAGACTAAAAAATTATTCCATGTTTATCTGCAAACAAATGTGTGGATCATAAATACAAAACTACTTTATTTTATTGTTACCTTTAGTAGAAAATTTCGTATGAAGCATTTTTAACTGTGGAAATATGTCGCTTAGTGATTGTATAAACTGAATAAATGAAAATGTTTTTGTAAACTAACAGTTTTTGGATTCCACTGCTAGCCACTATCCATCTCTACTTATAACAGTTTATGGTTCATCTTATGTGCTGCACACTTCATTTTAATTTATAAGCACATCAAAAGTTAAGATAATTAGTATAGTATAATTTCGAGTGGATTATGTTGATAAACACAATCATGAATAATGTTTACAAATTATTTTCACTATTCAAATGATTTGCACTCAGTAGAAAAATGTCCAATATATGTTTACCTCATAGATGATAAGTTGGCTAATTCTAGAATCACTAAAATAAGAACTTGTGTCATTTGAAAACCAACTACCAACTTTATGTTGATGGTGTGCTTAGTATTATTGTATTTTAAGTACTTCTTAGAGTTTCTCTTTGTTTGGATCAAGTTTGTAAACTTTTTTAAAAATCAAATATTATTTTTTAAGTATAACGAACCATGAACATTTTAAAGTGTAGAATTGGGTCAATGTCATATTTATCATATTCACAAATACAGCAATGAACAACAAACACAAGTTTAATGAGTTCAGTTTCTCCGAATTTCTATGTGTGATTAAACATTTTTTGAACAGTTGAACTATTAAAATTGAGAGTTTAAAAGTGTTAGCCATATACAACAGGTATTATGTCATTTTTATTTTTTTTGTCGGAAAGAGGGAGTTCAAAAAATTATTCTCCTTATAATATCATATTTCGTGTTGTTTGATCTGATAAGCACATGAATATTTTCATAGTTCGAATTAAAAACTGATACTAGTTAAACAACCATTGAAAACGTAGACTCACTGGATGGCATTTTCGTCTTATAAAGGAACTCTTTAGTAGTGGACATGCATGACCTTGTGTGTAAGAGTCAAACCCAAGACCTTCGGTCTTGCATGCGAATGCTTAACCTCCAGATCTTCGAGCTAGTCTAAAATAAGTACGGACAAAATTATAAACGAAAAGCTGAATCAATGTCAACAGTCCGCTAACGAACTATAATTTTATCGGGCTTCAGCGATCACCTTTAAATTACTAAGCAGCCCTATGAAATCTGAGATACTTGCGACTATTTAGTGATTCTCACCTTTGGAAACTGAACACTCTACTGAAATCAAGTTTGATGAATAATTAGTACCTAATCATTAAGTATGAAACATTTTGATATGATCAAGTAATAATGTTAAACATTCCAAATCATGCAATTGAGTTAAAAACATAAAATGAAAACCAATTACCCAAATGATAACAAACAACTCAAGATGTACAAAATTACTATAGTGACGCATGCACCCTTAACCAACACCAACTACGAGATAAATCTTTTCCTTCCTACACAAAAAATAACACGAACAACAAACGATGGTACAGATATTTTTCAACGCATGCACTTTATCACTCACGATTGAACGCTATATCTGAATTATCGATCGGACTGTGAGAACGCCTTATCACATGTCCATTTATACATTGTTGGTGTAAATCCTCATCTCTCAAAGGTAATTCACTTGCTAAATTTGTTGAAGGGAGCAAAATGGAACGTTGATTCACAGCTCGATAAGTACCATTGATAATTGCTAATTCCATAAGCTGGCGTTTCTTCACCTGATCTTCTCCATCAGGCTTATATAATTTTTGGGATAAAGAAAAAACCAGAAATATTATCAATGGAAAGTTTTCAAAGTCTCTCTGATAACTAGAATTAAATATTGACTGATAATGCAACAGATTCGAATGAGTAAATACAAATATCAATATGTGTTGTCGTTAATTATAATACTGTTACGATTAATTTCACAATATAGAAGGAATATCGTCGAAATTCAAACACCTATATTTCCGAATGGGGTTTGTGAAACATCACAGGAGGGAGGACCAAGAGCCTGAATGAGACTAGGATTCATCCGCTGTTGTAGTTAAAATTGTCTTAATAGAACATTTCATCAGAATAATTCATAAAATCGTAGAAAAAGATTAATCTCAGAACGCAATGTAAATAAATTCACTTATTGCAAACCAAAATAAATAATTCACATTATGAAGGCATTGAATTGTGGTGGACTTTTTTGACCAACATCACGATAATTGTGGAGCCCGTTCAAAACGATTACAATATCAGTATACTTAGATAAGACAAAAAAACAGAACATTCCAACATATATCTGTCATCTGTAACTTATAAATAAATAGTTGTCTGTTTTATTCCCCACTAACGTATTCACTGATACGTCTCACGGAAAAACAAACAAACGTGATTTACTTGAAAATAGCTTAAATAAAAGACAATTTTTCCTTTATCTTAATAGTAACTTAACCAATATTCCTTAGACAGCTTGAAAAACTTTGAGATATACGTTTTAGAGAAACAAGACAGACACATACATGAAACAAGTGATTATATCATATAGATGCACATGTATGTTTAAAGAGGTTCGCCTGTTGTAATTTCCTCGGTGTTCATTTTCATTCTCATGCTATATGAATATCGAGTTTATACAATACCAATACCCTAATGAATTACACTGACGTTTGGAAATGGTACAAACACAGTGATTTTTTATCAATTAGTTAAAATTACAATATTTTCAGTAGGATAGTTGATAACATTTGTGATACAAGTGAAGCTTTCACAAAACTAGTTACTGAAACTACATAATACAGACTATTCAAACGTTCCGTTTCCAATTTTTAGAACAAAATGTTTTATAAAAGTAAATTCAAGATAAAAGGTGACTGAGAAATGTTCTGAAAACAAAACACTAACCTTAAAAGCTACATAAATCCAGTGTAGAATTCATTTACCTGAGGTTATAATTCATTAGCTGGACCAAATCCTTGTAGTCTGTAATTCCCAGTGTGTTAAAATAATAAAATCACATCACGGTCATCATTAGTTAATGATCTTTCGCAACAAGTGAGATTAGTCAACGATGTCAGTTATCTAAATTTTAGTTCATCTGGGATTTTAACAAAGTTGGTGATTGTTGACACCTCGCATATCAATCATGCTACTCGGCCTGATATACTAACGCTTTACAGATATGCAAGAAGTATAAATCTATAAGGTGCGTTATTTTAATTCATCACACTGAATATCATATATCAAATTATCAATCGTTTATCATCCCGCTGTTATAGCTCTCTGAATAGCAGTCGTAGCACGGAAAGTTAATATTTTTTTCTTATCTTTATAAATTTCACTGTAGGCGGTAAATAAAAAGTTACTGTAGTGAAAAACTCAAACGTACTATTATGTATAGATACTAATGTTTTATACAGATTACTGGTAATTTAGTTTAGCTGAGATCCTTTTAGCCACGGAATCGATTTCATCTAATCTTTTCACTTATTCGGACATCTTTATTGATGTTCAATTCGCCTTGTTATGCTCAATTCAGTTTAAAACTAGGTTTAACACTAAATCTTTGATTCAGTAATCATTAATTTCCACATTTCGTTTCAAAAATTAATTTAAAACACAATCTGTTTTCACATCTTTATTTAATGTCACAGACAATGGCATGACAAACTTGGTTAGATTCTGTCTTAGATATGATTCCGTATATTATTTTCACCAAATAATTGGAAAAGAGCAATATGCAATTAAACACAATTTTCATTCACAAAAGAAATAAAACAGTTAACTTATTCACCAGATACTTAGATACGAGTCATATACTGTAAGTATGAAGGCTAACGATATTATTCGGTTGCCTAAACCGAAATAGACTGAGCAAGGTTTGGACCCGAGACTTAGTAGCTAAATGCCTTAACCACTAACCCACATTTCACAAAATTTAGAATATTATTATTATTTTCTAACAAACAGGATGTATAACCACTGAAGAATGTGTTCACTTTGACCAGTGTAAATGAATTTGATCAATCATACTAGAAATTTAACAGTGAGTAACAGTTTGTTTATAAAATTATTTCAGATACATTACTACCTATCATCAATTCTACTCTAATAAATCTAAGACTTCATTAACAAAGTTTCTAGACAATGTTTAGACGTTGGTGAAGTAACTGAATAACTAAGAATACGACAAAAATTTTCACGAGTAAAATTAGCTCATAAAAATAAATCAATTAGAACAATTGAAGTAGAAAGTATGAGAAATACCAAACGAAAATGATGAAGAACGGAAATAACCAATGACATGAAAAGCATTAAAACTAATAAAATCAAATTCTTGACCTCTACCTTATACTTAGAATGCACCATCAATTCAATATCAGCTATAAGCTGATAACATATTTCTATGTCTATATAAGTCCAGTTATGTATAAACGAGTAAATAAGCAGAATAACATTGTTGTCAGTAAGAAAGAAATGAAGTTTACAATTAAACAATGAAGACGTTTGTCATTAATAAGTGAATTATAAACTCAGGTCAACAGAAACAAAATGAGATATGTCACTGAGTCATTATTTTGTGCAGAGTGAAATAAAAATGAGAGGAAGATAATGTGACCCATTCAACTGATGACCGACGGATATAGTAACGCATTATCAAAATTTTTTAATGCTACATAATTTAACATTAAGGCCCGAGAATGCTTAAAATTAGCTGATCTTTTTTATTATCATTCGTTGGTACTTTATGAATTTTACCATAAAGCTGACTGGCAGAATAAATTCGTGGGAACTTATTGTAATTATTGCTAAGTTGAAGATTTATTATTTAATGACTACTAGTATCATCTGGAATTAGAACACTTTATCTTTATAACGTTTGAGTATCATCGATCCAGAAATACATAAACTATAAACTCATAATTTGATCCATTCACAATTAGTCTATCTTTCCGGCATGATTTGACGTGAAAGCGTAAGTTTATAAATCGATATATGAAGTAATCTTAATCAGCTTCATCCCTCTAGATAAGAAAAGGCATTTCAGCTCTATGATTGTCAGCTATGATTAAAATAAAGGTGAATTGTGTTGTATTAAATCATTGGATCTTTAACATAGAACCTGTGCAGAAATGAAGCAGCATACAACAATCTTTTTCACTTATCATTGACCTAATCACATAAAGAGTTAGCAAACGTTTTGTTATTTTCATCTGATATCCTTCTTATTATACATTAGCACAAAAAGGATTCATAACATACTATCACAATCTAACCAGATCACGTTTATCAAATATCATTGGTGTGCAGACCTAGTCGATTACTCGCATCAAAACGGTTTTGGTTTCCCAGTATTTTAATAGTTAATGCAAATTCCATAAATATGTATACATGTGCTTAAACAGTTCATAACACATAGTACAATCCTTTAGGAGTTAGCAGAAACTAACATAATACTTCACATGAAAGATCATCCTACATAATTATGAACACTATGAAAAAATTATGAAGCTCTTAAGATAAAAACAATTACCAACTATCTGACGTTCGAGAACACAAATGACATACTTTGATGTTCGTTACCATTTCAAAATACACTGATCTGTTATATTTTTTAAAGAAAAGGAAAGAGAAAATTTGAACACCATTACTAGAATTTTGACGCCGTCATGAAAAGAAGCCCCACTTCATATTATTGTCACCGGAAAATATCATTTGTTCACACCGAACATCATTTCGCTGTCAAACAGTTTGTGATTCAACGTTAGTAACCATAAATATTATTTATTAAATCCGACCACATAGAATAATAATAAGAATTATTCAGTATCCATTTTTAGCAAACGGATAGTATCTTTCAAAAAAAGGAAAAATAACTAAAGTGGTGCTCAATGATGATTTTACATATAGCTATTCAGTTGCCGACCATGTCCAACAAAACTCATTCGAGTAACTAAGTACTCTAACAAAAAACAATGAAGTGAGTGATAATATTCATCAAATGAATATCAATCTGAATTTAAATTTTGTCCATAATTTTTCATTGTCTGTAAATGACGCAAACCAGCATCTCCAAATATTTAAAGGTATCACTGGAGTCATTGTTTAAGCTCTCAATTGACGAATAAAGTATTGTTGTCCCTACATGTTAAAACAATGAAATATTATTAAGCCCCAAGTAAATACAGTATCCAGCATTTCATGGCTTTCAAGAGTGCATATATAAACATAAATAAACAAATAATCAATTATCTACAAAAAACTGTTTACCGTTTTCCTAAGTAACCAACCTGATCAGTGTAATCGTTTTTATTTCTATAGATATATGTTATGGAAATGTTGCAAAATAAAATGCTTCGGTGTAATTGAGAGAAATTCCAGAAAATTCCATAATTCGATTAATGCATACTTACATAAATAACGGATGGAATGATAAACAGAACAGATGACAATATCTTATAACTGGAACTGGTCATTGTTTCACTGTTCTATTTTTCTTGTATTTCAAGTTGTGCCTCAAGGTAGCACAGTTATTTTACATTTTTTCTGTTATTTATAACTGTTGTAGTAAGAATTAGCAAATCAATAAACTTAGCACGTGAATATTTATCATGTGGTACTAGATTTTTTACACAAATGGTAGTTTTTGGGCTTTACCGAATTCCGATTCACCAATACCAATAATAAATCTAGGTTCTTCCCAGTGATTTGATGAAGATACTGACTGACAGAGTAGTGAAACCACTGAAGCTACTATGAAGTA